AGTTACGTTCGAAACCATAAGCTTACTACCGGGGAGCTACGAATACGTAGCCATCAATCCGAATACGCAGGAAGCGTGAACGGCAAAAACAATATCGAATTCGAAGGTAATCTGAATCTGAACAAAATAAAACTGATCTTGAGAAATAACAGTCAAGTCGATTTCAACGTAGAAAATTCGTTGAATGCGTTACTAGGGTTCGATAAACGAATATACGCGCAATCGACATTGGCGCCGTACAAGGCCAACATCGAGAACGACATCGACGTGATCAACATTCACTGTAATTTGATCAACGGTGGATTTTTCAACAAGCACAAACGTCAAATCATATACAGCATACCGACTTTTACGGTGCCGATCGGATACAGAATTATAGAGAAACCGTTTCAAACGACCTATTTACCAGTCAATTCTTTCATGATCAAAGATATAAATCTGGAAATCAAAGACGGTAAAAACAGGTTCATTGACTTTGGCAACGAAGAAATTGTCATTCAACTTCATTTAAAACAATCTTCATTCTCTTCTTGATTAGAAAGATAATCGAAATCATCAAATTCATAGTTTTCGTCAAAACTATACTCATCTTTGTCGTTGTAAGGATACATATTTCCTTCACTGTTTGGTGGTTTTCTTTTAACATTATTCAAATAACTTCTAAAAACTTTAGTTTGTTTATCATTTGGAATAACTACTCCATTGGTGAAACTTTTTTCCCATGGTTTATTAAATTCGTTCGACACATCATGTCCGCTTGCTAACTGAACGTAATCTTCTACACTTATCTTATCATTAGAATAACCTTTAAACGTTTTCTTTTCTTTTAAGACACCATCAGAAGTCAAAACGCTGTTGTATTTGACTTTTGGTGCTAAATATAAACCAAATATAATTCCACCGTCACCGTAATCGTTTTTACCTTTGCAATAGTCTTTTTCGGAGACCAAACCAGCTCTGTTTAGTTTTTTCCAATTTTTGGATGAAATGTACAAACTATCGGTGTCGGTATAGTAAATTTCGGGTTTATAAAATCCATTTATGACGTGAATGAAATTGTTCATTATTTTTTTACTGTGAGATAAAGCGAATGATCCCAAATGACTAGGTGTTAGTCGTGTAGATTTACTATCTTCGGTATTAATCTATTTTTCTTCAATTTCCGTTTCAACAATATATTGAGTATCATTAATTTTCTCATAGGTTTTAACGCGTGAATCAAAGTTGGCCTGTAAAGTTGCTTCATTCCATAAATGTCTAGTTGTGAATATATCTTTCTGAATTGATTTACCATACAAGGAATTACCTAATAATTTCATGCAATTACTACCCACGATATTACCTTCTCGTTTATATTTATTTCTTAAATCTCTCAAAATTAAAATATAATCTCTATAGGGTGGAGTTTTAAAATTTTCTTCGTAAACTATACTATCTAATATTCTAATAATTCGTCCACCGGCTTTCACTATTTCTTGAATATCGACCGATGTTAAAACGTCGTGACAGAAACCATTTCTGAGCCTGATTTTGTTACCAGTTTCCTTTTTACCTTCTTTATTCGTGAAAGTGATTTTATCTTTAGCTGGTATCGGTTGGAAGAACATGTTTTTGGGATAGTCAAACCACACTGTTAAAATAGCTGTTCTAGGTCTGAATTTTTGTTTATTGAAGAGTTTTACAAATTCTTTTTCTTCTTCTGGTAGAAACGGTCTTCCACTTTCCGCTCTCGGATATTCACTGTCTAAATCCGACATGGCGGAAACGTATAAACCGTTAGCATCAAATGCCATTAGTTTAGTACATTCTATTTTTTTAAGTCTCGAATGAACCTCCGTTTTGTCTTTTGTGCTTGCGTTTGTATTCTTTGAATAAATCAATTATGTTATTACTTTCACTTTGCGAAATATATTCCTATAATACGTTACAAATTTCATCCATTTTGTTCGTTTCAAATGATTTTCTATTTGCCGAAACTCTTCCTCCTTTAATAGATCGTCTGATAAAATTTCTTATAAAAGGATTAGTGTGCGAATAACCTTTTTCTACGTTTTCTTTTTCGGTATGTTTCGCAACCATTCTAGTAGTTTCATACCATTCTTCTTCCACCATTTCTTTATCGTAATGATATAAATAATACCAACCCTTTAAAGAAAAAGATGGAGCCGTTAGATTATTGGACATATTCTGGTTTACAACTTCTTTCGTGACTTGGTTGTATTTTATCAAACAAGCTCCCAAACAGAGAGTGTCTCTTGGCGTAAGGTTCCCATTCGTGTCTCAATTCCTCCCAGTTGTGAAATTAATATGTTGTAAATAATTACCCTTTATTTCTTTCTGTCTTTTCCATTTTTTCTGTAAATCTTCATCCGTGTATGGATTAGATAAAGGAAAAGATAGAATTCCTCTGGGTGTTTTAAAAGGGCAATGCGTTATTTTTTTTGCATTTTTAAGCACGATCCAGTTGTCGAATCCACTGCCGTTATGAGAAATTAATATTAATCTCTTTCTATCATATTGACCTAAATATTTCAACATTTGATCGATGCAATCTGTACCTACAAATATTTCTACTACATTCATTAGTTTATCATAAAATTCTTCG